TAACACTTCACGGGCCTAATTTAGTGCAAAAAACGCGACAAACCGGCTCAAATAAATCAACGGGAGGGGTGTTAATTGGGACGCATTCTCGCGACGTACCTGATAACGAACATACTCGTCGTCTCGGCCGGAATGGCAAAAACACATTTTTTGTGTCAAACAAAAATAAATGTGCAAATTCAGATAAAGGTACTAATGCCGTTATTGGTACATTGTTTTTCACACTATTCATTCATATTTTCTGTACGTAGAATAGGAATACGCAAGTAGACGTGTATATACACGTCTACTTGCGTATTCCTAACATATATATGTTGGACTATAATGTATTTATCTATGGAACTACGACGCCTGATTATAGTAAATAAATAATTTAAAAAGTTGTTCAGAATATTAGTAAATTTTCCGATTGAAACTCAATAGTTTGTTCACACTAAGAGATAAAATTTCGTGTCTATGAGAGTTTAATTAAAGCTGAATAAGATGACGATGGCGGCGCCGGTTAGTGGCGTACGCTGTGACATGTTTGCGATAAATCACCTAGACGTGCAGCCCCCGCCCGCGTGTTGACACCCGGCAATAAACCATGGGTGTTGATGTGACACAAGGATTAAATTTGTCTTTTTTTGTAGGAAGTTAGTTAAGAAAAGTGAAAGGGAACGAAGCTTGGGAGAACACATCTGTTTATATCTCACTGTGTATGTACCAATGGAGGCCATGTTGGTGGATGCAACTTTAACGAAGCCGCTATCCCTTTGCATCATTCAAAAGCAGAAATAGTTATAGTGTCAAAAAACTGAGCCCTTGGTCTGCACTTTTTTGTAGACCATCATGCAGCAAATCAAATGAAAAAAATATATTTAGAAAAGGATGCGTGAAGTGAACTTAGTATATACTGCTTGGCACTGCAGAATTAATGCACTCTTACAATCTACATTTCATTACCATTGATCTTCATTCTGTACGTTAACTTTTTTGTAAATTGATATGCAAATTATGGGTAGCAGGTACACCGAGAATGAATTTAAACATTTACTGCATCACGCTTTTGTTTACACTTCCAGGTGGTAAAAATAGCCCTGAAGATCGTAAATTCGTAAGATATAGACGTTACAAACTTTAAAATAATAAAAACAAACGTTAATTGGACCCTTTTCATGCATTTTGTATCGTTCGTTTGATGTAAATTTCGTAGTGAGCAGTTATTTCTAGTACCCGAATGAAACATACATCAGAAAATTTGTTTCAAATTGTAACCACGTATGCCACTTTAAATTTGCGGTGACTCAAACAAACAGGATGGGAATATTGACTCTCTTCCTCTCTCTAATGTGTTGACAGTCGGCAATAAACTAAAGAATCTAGTGGGGTGGCTATAATTAAGATGCGCATTTGTATATTCTTAGACGAGAAATGAAATAGGTGCTGGCATTCTAGTTAGCGGGACTTGACACCGCCCCAACCTGGACGTATAGTCACAGTATTTGAACACATTTTACTATAGGGATACCAATCTGCCTGAATTTGATAAGACATGGTCTCAGGAATTTGAGTCTTTTGACAAACAGGACATAATAAGACTTGTAAGTTTTTAATTTGTTCTGTTTTTTTGCTGAAATATAAAATTATGGTAGAACGAAATAAAAAAATAAAGTAAAAGTTTGTAAAGAAAGGAAATGTCTGAATTTTTACTGAAATATGATGAGCTTTTTGTCAAGATTTCTCGAATGGATAAATAGTAACCCTATTCTACTATGATTGCTGGGTAGGTAGGTGTTGATGGGGCCAAAATTAAACCAGTATGTTTATTTTTTCAGTGGTAGAAAGTAACGACACGGCCGCCAGTATATTTCGATTTAAATCAATGTCATCTACCTATCTGGGACGCCTGGTGGAGTGTATTTTACTGTGAGATATGACGTGACAATCGACATTGAAATTGTAAAGTTAATTCCCTAATTAGGATCTTGAAGAAAACTATATTTGCCAGCTACTCTGAGTTTTGGAGACAATTTAAAGAGTCCGTCACTGTTTGTACTTAAAAACAATTAGGACTCCATAACCGGTACCAAAATAGATGTTTTTGCGGTCTATTGAGATTTATGCTATCATCCGACTAGATTAGTCCGGACTTTTAGACTAGTCCGGACTTTGTTCGGCACTTTAACTGTTCCTGATTTTTTTTATTAGATCGAATATGAGTAATAACAATTCATATTCAGGAATATTAAATAACTCTTCATCTTAATTAACTTCTTATTAATATAAAAACAGAATATAAATTCGTTCAAGTATATATATATATCGAAATGCGTTTTGGAATTTTCATATTTGTGAATAATGGGGCATTTATTTGTATTATGAGCACAAACATTTTCTCCCGAGACATTTTTGAATCTTATTACTTTATGTGAGCCATGCAACAACACCACACGTATCTTGACACGGCTCTAAAGATGTAGATGAATACATATTTGTATTTTAAATAAGGTTTCCTTTTTAAGTCCACTCAGTTAATAAATATCAGTAGTTGTATTTCTTGCATAAACACAAAAAATACTGAGCAAAACCAATAATTACATAATACGTTCCTTTATGCATTTATTTAGTTTCCTTATTTACAAAACTTTTTCTATGTTTTTATCTTCGTTTCATAATCATTCCGCTTTTAATATTATTATCTTATTTACAAGGATAGGGCTATTTATGGTAATTAAAATAAAACAAATAGGTACGTTAATCTATACTTTTATACTAATATAAAGAGGAAAGTTTGTATTGTAACGAATTGGCTGAAAAAGTACTGGACCGATTTAAAAAAATCTTTTACCATTTGAATGCCACATTATCACTGATTAATATAGGCTATAGTGTATTTTCAAAAAGTTAGGGTTCCGTATGAAAACTTCGATAATTTAACACAACATGTGTAAAATAGAACTATTAAAGAGGAAAAATTCCGTCATACATTTTTGTGTAACTTTAACCGTTTACCCAGCGCACGCAACGAAATGTCACACAGTGGAATATTTTTACCCGTTTTTGCAACATTTTTAATCGATGCTCCGCTGCTACTGGTCGTAGTCTGGTAATATATAGCACTGTCCAATACAAAAATATTTTTTCAAATCGGAGCAGCAGGGCAATGTTGCATTCGATACAACGGTTCCTTAACTACACAACGAAATGTTTACTTGGAATGCAAGGTTTATAATTATTATGAAGAAAGTCATTGTGTATAATACAAAGCCTTTGAACTAAAACAATTAGTCTACCCCACACCTACATCGAAGCAAAGCGAGGGCGGGCCACTAGTATTTAATAAATAAATATTTAATCTGTAAATATAAATAAAATCGGGTGTGGATAAATAAAATGGCGTAAACATAAAATTGTGTGCGATTGTATAATTATTATTGAACTGTCCGCGCCAGCTCTCTTCTGACTTTAATTATTATCGATATAAATGTATACGAAAAGCGGAATTCATAGAGAGAAAGCCGGCCTCATTATCACTCCAGTAAAATGTGATTCATGACTACATTATCGGGTTGATTTAAATCTTTGAAATGCAACGTCGGTCGGGCCACTTGGTAAATTTATCACTTTCCATAGTATATAAACACAATAAGTTTTTGAAACCGTTATTTTTATCATGAGGTTTAAAGTGCAACACCATTAGACTTATACCTTATACAGAAGTCATACTATTTTATTACATTCAATCCTACTACCTGATAGGTATTACTTATAAACAAGAGTAAATATAGCTGCTATCTTTTTACAACGTTTGGAAGCTAAGTCCCACAGTTGATAACAAAATTGTGTTAAACAAAATAACTCCATGTTTGCCTAAAGCTTTAAAATCTTGATAATAGTGAAAATTTTTTGAATCAGAAACCAACTACAAACTTTGTCTTGCGTCATTTTGTATGCAAACATAGGTATTAAACATTTTGCATGTTTGTTTTGCGATTTCTGTTGCCATATTTCACATCGTAACTATCTAATTAATTTACTAAATTAACCAAGTTATACTGGTAACATAATAAGTTTAACAATAATATTTAAGTACATACATTAAACTATCACTATCATGGTAATTACGTTGGAATAAAACAAATGCTGCCAAATAATAAATAACCTATCCATTTAACGATAGCAATTGAAGTTTCTATTCTTTGTTTTTTTTACCGACTTCAAATAGGAGGAGGTACTCAATTCACATTGAGCTTTGAAACTTGGTAAGATAATCTAAACTGAAACTTAAAAAAACGTGTTTCACATTTTTTTGAAATTCGATCTCTACGACGATATATAAGGATAGCAAGTTATCTATTATGTTATGACTAGCTGCGCGCTGTGCGTTTTATTGTAAATTCATTGTTTCCATAGTATTTAATGCACCCGTGTGAAGCCGGGACGGGCCACTAGTTGGTATATCAATTGACTGGTAGAAAAATAAAATGCATTGATGACTTGCTATTAAAAATATTTTGCACTGACCCATTGAATTTAGCTAACAAATTCTACTATGAATTCAGTAAAATATTAGGAATACCATCTCATGTGACGTCCTATTACTGAATCCTTCCTCGTACGAAATCATACCGGATAGGTCGATGAGAATTTTAAAGGCTCGTTTTTATATGATGCAAAACTGTTATCCAGCCGCATGACACTTAATGAAATAATTTTTGTGATGTTTCTATATGCTGTGCTGTAAAAGGACTCTCAAGTTTCACCCAAGTACCAATAAATTAAATTACTTAAACCGTTCATAATAAGGAAAATAACTTTGATTTTGCGCATGCGCAAGTTTATGGTAAGAGAGATACAAAACCACTTTTATTTATATACTAATTTTACGGGTGTTTTTTTAATTTAATTAGTGAAACTTGAAAACAATTTTGACGTGTTCAGGTGTAAAATTGTATTAAATCTTATTTAATTATTACTTCTGCCAATATAAAAACGTGTATTCTACTCTATTGTTTCAGAGGGTGGTAGGTTAGAAGCTGAATTGAAGTACACAGCAAAAGCGTTAGGCGAAGCTGACTTCTCAACGCATCAGCTTATCATACAGACAGCTAAAGATCCCGACGCTTCGCTTCTTCATGCCGGGGCGCTGCTAGATCACCTAAAGGTAAAAAGAATGAGGATCATTACTAACTTATTTTATTAATATACTTTTTTAATAATCGAAATAGGTTCATTTGTCGCGATTTTCTAACTAATTTTATGGTAGCCAATATTCACCAACGTGTGACGTCACAGAGCTCGGTCGTGGTTCACTCCGGTGGAAATTCAGTAGCGTCTCTACGCACGCTTGCGCCCAAGCGCTAGGAGCTTAGTGACGTCCAGTCGGAAACGGTTGCCGCTACTACACCCACACTCTCCGGTGCAGGAGTATTGTCTGGTTTTTAGTGGCCCTGTTCAGGAAGTTAGGTAGGCCCCTAACTGCAGGGAGGAGTCCCACGTACATTCTTCTGGCTCCCCCAGTGGTAGAAGGATGCGTAAGGCATTTCCCAGACAAAAATAACGGATATGTGCTGTTCTCATGCGATAGAAGTGAAACCTACAAAAATGTGAACACCTAAAAAAAATCCTCCAACGGCACCTGTTCAACATTTCAACTCATTCAAGTCAAAATTAAATATTTTATACTAATTAAATTATTTCCAAAAATGAAGAATAGCTTTATGAAAAGAAAATCAGAATGTGCGTTATGCTGAAAAGCATTATTAAACTAATCACTTTTAATGAAACATCAAGATACTATTTAATTTAAGTTATATTTTTCGCTAGCAAAAAAGCTTTCTTACTAAGATACCAAGTTTCATAAATGAACTTGCGGTCGCACGCTCCGTCTAAGGAATTTCAAGCAAACTACATATTTTAAAGCACGCAAGCTTATAATGCTAGTCTTGCTACAAAAGCATCGCTGTTATCGTATAAGAATTCATTTCTTGATAGATGGCTAATACTGAAACGAATTAAAAATCAAATTATTTACATATTTAACAAAGATTACATAGAAACTATGTAACGATTAACGAGCAAGAAATAAACTGTAATAAACATACGAGACGATATCCAGTAAATAAATATTGTACAACATCATATACATAATATTAATATGCAAAATTAGTAATTGAAGCTTTTGTATTAAGGGAATCGGATATAACTACGATAAAATAATCGAGCGAATACGTACACGTATACAAAACACCACGTTGTTGTGATGCCTTTTCCTCAAGCTTTTTGCCCTCTCAAACGTCCCATGACACTTGAGTATCATAAAAGTTTTTCCAGTCAAACGTCCGAGGACACTATGCGGTCTTGTATTTTGCGTGTGCGGTCTTGTATTTTTCTCATTAGCGTGCTTTAGAAAGCATACCTGTGGCTGCTATCGTGGTCTCTTTAGTTTAGGCAAAATATGTAAATGGCGTTGTAAATAAAAATGAAGTGCTCTCTGAACTTTACATTTTTTACATCATTTTGAAGTACGCGCTCTGCGCAAAATGGTGACCCCAATTTCTTAGAAAATATTCTTATCTAATTATTTAATATTAAAGTGTGATATATCCACATGTTTCTCCAGGTTTACCCGTGTCAGTGATGTGAAAAGATCATAGTTTTATTTGCCTTAGAATTAATAACCTAAAAAATGTGAACACGTAAAAGTTTTATTTGTTACCGGCTATTTTTATATTATTTCTTTTCTTCTTTATTATGTTATGATTTTCTTATCTTAGGTTTTTCTCCAAATACATATTTATATATGAAAAATTACTGTAAAAAAATTGCAAACATTGAAATGGTAAGGCAACAATCCCTATAGTCTGTATTGAAAAACAACTTAGGAACCTACCAAACGTTTAATACTTAACTATAATTCAGATACTGTAAAATACTGGGCAATATTAAATATTTTTAGAAACGTATATTCTATACTTAAATTGTTTCGAAAAATAAATAATAGCTTAATAAAAAAAACACGGCACAACCACTACGCGCGAAAATTCGTTTAGTAATTTAACCACTGTATTTTTGAAATCCTTAGCTCTATAAATCTGCATTCTCAACTAAAATAGTTGCGGATCCTCATTATATAGTTTTGATAACCAACCTTACGTTCAGAAAACTATCCACGATGATTGGAAAAATAGGCTTGTCAGAGCTTAGTTACTTACGATATTTACCATAATGAAGGTGATTAGTATTTTGCCATGATAAATGAATTGATTACTAAGGCCGCGATCGCACAATTACAAGTGTAAGGCAACTGGTGACGGCGCAGTACATACAAGTAGAAACGTTTGTAGTGTGGCCACCGATATGAGTCGTCGACGTGAGAAATCGCCGTCGCGTGGCAGTCGCCGTACCAGTGCGGGCTCGGTCTAAGAATATAATAATTTGATAAACAGAAGATATACGACACAGATTTTATTTTCAATCCTGTGATAAGACGGAATTTTTTGACTAAAAGCAGCAGAACAGTAACATCTTCGTCTGGACGTGATCCAGTTAAAAATTTTCATTGCCAATTTATCATTACAGGTAGTCCACGCAGCGACCCGCGTCACGGTTCATATGTACGACCTGGAGTGGCGGCTCAAAGACCTCTGCTACAGTCCCAGTACGCCTGACTTTGAAGCCGAGCACATTGAAAACATCTTCGATAGCATAGTACCTTGCGCCATCACAACACCGCTAGACTGCTTTTGGGAAGGCTCCAAGTTACTTGGACCTGATAATCCTATTTATGTACCGTAAGTAGTATTTATTAGTTTTAAAATTTCAAATGCCTAAATAAGTTTTATGGTTATGTAACATAAGTTTTGTACTTTTGCAGTATATTGAAAAATAAGCTACAATGGACACAGTTGAACCCGCAAGATGTGTTAGAAGAAGTAAAGCCCTTGAAGATACAGTTCCCCTGGAGAACAATGGAGGCGTATATGAAGCGAGCTGGCATCACCACAGCTTACATGAGGAAGCCGTGCCTGGACCCCACCGATCCACAATGTCCAGAGACGGCGCCGAACAAGAAAAGTGGGCATGTGAGTTATATATATTTAGACGGACCACCCTCTTTCGTTACTTTTCAATAGTTTTTTTAATGCTCCATATTGAAAAGTAATGACTACAAAACATTACTTCCCATTTGGATTCCTACTTTTTATATTTTTTTTCTTGCACTTATTTGTTACACGTTTAGCAACAATTTATTGCCGTCTCCACGGTTGCGTTAGTTAGACCCACATCGGGAGAACGTTACGACAGCTCCCTTACCTTTTATGAAGACTTCAATTTACGACAGCTATTTAATGACACATAAATAATGCGCATGCGATAGCAAGAAACGGAATGGCTTTATCGATGCAAAGCCATAAACTTTAAATACTTTCCATGATAATAAAAAAAAATATTTTTGGAAACGATAATAAGGGGCACAGGATGAGAGCGACCGCCGCCGCGGGCAGATGGCTTACTACCTGCTGCCACCGCCGAGAAAGCTACAACTTAGTATCGTGATTATATCGCCCGGCATGCCAGTACGGTTATACACAGTTTTGCGAGTAAATATTTATTCATTAGTTCGGAAATCATGTTTCCCAGAAGTGGTCACCGCTAAGACAGTGTAGCGAGTCACGAGTGCGCACCGCAACGCGACGATGCGGTGTTATTTTGTTTTCAAATTATCTCGAACAAAAAGCTCCGTGGAAGAGCTGGCTTCGTTTTTGTGCGAGTCGGCCGCCACCCACGAGTTGGGCGCGCATTGTCCCTGCGCCCGCGCACCGGACCGCTCTATTATACGGGCGCATTGTACGCGCTTCAATGGGCCTCGTTTGCCGCTGCTATCGCCCATCACAATGACACTATTATATCAATAACGCTTGCCACTCGAATTTCACGGAAACCTCGTAAATTTTGCATTCGGTTCGCTTTGTCCACTTTTAAATTATATTGTCAACGCAGGTGATGTAATGACGAACAATACGATTTCAGGAATGCTTTTGTTACTTTTTTAGTTGCACCTGATAAGCATGCTCGATGCACAAATATTGAATAGGTAGTAGTTGATCGTAAAAGTCAACAATGTAAGTTGTATTTGTATGGTATAATGTTACTCATAAAAATACATAACAAATTAATCTCTTAAATCATGTGAGGTCGAATGTGAATGAATAACATAGAATTCTCCAGTGGCGCTGGAACCTGTTACTATAGTATTTGAACAACATCCATCTAGACCTAAAGAATGCTGATATAAACCTTTGGGAGTGACATTTGTAAATTTATAATCATCAACAAACCGCGTCCAGGTATAGCGTATATTTACACATCCGTATTTCAAAACTGTAATCATGTGATAATTTACACGTACCTCTTTACTGATGTTGGTATTCCATTCAGGTTCCAGATGTAGCTGCGGAGTTATCTCACGGGTGCTACGGGTTTGCGGCCGCGTACATGCACTGGCCGGAACAGCTGATAGTAGGCGGTGCGACAAGGAACTCCACGTCTGCCCTACGCAGTGCGAAAGCTCTGCAGACTGTTGTGCAGCTGATGGGAGAACGAGAGATGTACGAGTATTGGTCAGACCACTACAAAGTGCACCATGTTGGATGGAACCAGGAGAAGGCAGCCGCTGTGTTGGATGCTTGGCAGAGGAAGTTTGCGACTGTAAGTATTGTGATATTTCAATGCTTGGTGAATCTACTTCTTCTAATAACAGCTGTTTTTGCAGCTTTTATAAAACTTTATATTCATGCATCATACCTTCAAGTGAAATTTTTGCGACAAAGTAACTTTTGTCCTTGACCAAGCTGCTCATGATATCGGTAAAACCGATATGTATCAGTAGAATCAGATCAGTATGTTAGAGGCGTAAAAACACAATAAACAGAGTGAATTATGTCTAATTAATGCATTAGCATAGATTACTTAAACCGAATAAAGCAAACTAAATGAAAACATTTTCTCGCTTTCAGGAGGTCCGTAAAATGACAACATCAGAGGCAGTATCACCGTCTTACAGTTTCTATCCTTTCTCAACCTCCACACTGAATGATATACTTGGCAAATTCTCCGAACTCTCCCTCAAGAACATTATCTTAGGCTACATGTTTATGGTAAGAGATTGACAACACGATCGCTTCTCTTATGGATTTTCTTTTTTTGGGTTTTTTTTATACTATAATTTCCTTTGATTTATTTACAGTTAATTTATGTTGCCGTTACACTGATGCAATGGAAAGACCCAGTCCGCTCACAAGCTGGAGTCGGTATAGCCGGCGTTCTTCTACTTTCTATCACGGTAGCTGCTGGGTTAGGTTTCTGTGCTTTATTAGGTGATTATTTATTTTACGTTTATTTACTTTTCATTTTTCTGTTGATTTTCTTATGAACAGTCAGCCACAGATCAAGTTACCACAAAATGAAAAAATACTCAGTCATAAAACCAAACAAAATAAAGGTTTGTGTAACTCGACTTGTTGTTGTTTAAAATGATTTTCATGATTATTGTTACTTTGTTTCAGGCATTCCGTTTAACGCTTCGAGTACACAAATAGTACCGTTTCTTGCTCTCGGTTTGGGTGTACAAGATATGTTCCTTCTCACTCACACTTACGTAGAGCAGTCAGGAGATGTCCCAAGGGAAGAGCGAACAGGCTTGGTGTTAAAGAAGAGCGGTTTGAGCGTTTTGTTGGCATCTCTGTGCAATGTTATGGTGTTTCTTGCTGCTGCACTAATGCCCATTCCGGCTCTAAGGGTGTTCTGCCTCCAGGTTAGTTAGAATTATATTTTTTTCATTAAATTGTAGTTTATAATTCAGTATCGAGCCTATTTGAAAATTGCGGATCTTATCAACGTAACTAAATTGTCTATGTCAATCTAACCACTATTGTAATATAAGAAGAGTTTTTGATTAAGATGGGTTGGTGAAAAGACCTATGTGTGATTTATGTTTTAAATGTTATCTTGTTTTCAGGCTGCCATTCTTCTCCTATTCAATCTCGGGTCAATGTTATTGGTGTTCCCTGCGATGATCTCCTTGGATCTCCGCCGAAGATCAGCAGCGAGAGCAGATTTACTCTGCTGTTTACTTCCGGACAGTCCACTTCCGGTTAGATCTAAGAATATCTCTGAAAGATCTAAAAATCGCAACGACAGAAACAACAAGGTTTATATTATATTTTTATTATACACTCCAATCTTTTCAAATGTTGTTCACATAGTCTTAAAAATATTTGTATACATTTTTTTAAAAAGATTTTTTTTATTAATGTTGTTTATATTATTGGCCCTTACCGTAATTTTTTTCTAGGGGAAATGGAAAGACACAACAAAGCAACCTTTAGATCCGGACGAAGGAGGAAATGTTGAAAAAACATGCTGCCTCAGTCTTTCCCTGACAAAATGGGCTAAAAACCATTATTCGCCGTTCATTATGAGACCTTCTGTAAAGGTATGTTCTTCTAGGATAAATACTGCATCCATAACAAAAAATATTGAACGGTGAAAGTCTTAATAACACAAACATTATTTTGTTTTCCAGGTCACGTCGATGTTAGCATTGATAGTTCTACTGTTAGCTAGCGTATGGGGAGCTACGAAAGTAAGGGACGGCTTAGACCTCACAGACATTGTGCCTGAAAACACAGACGAACATGAATTCCTTTCGAGGCAAGAGAAATATTTCGGCTTCTACAGTATGTACGCAGTAACGCAAGGGGACTTCGAATATCCGACGAACCAAAAATTGCTATATGAATATCATGAACAATTCGTAAGGATACCGAACATAATAAAGAATGACAACGGTGGCCTAACTAAATTTTGGCTAAGCCTTTTCCGCGACTGGTTGTTGGACTTACAAGCCTCTTATGACAAAGAAGTTGAGAGTGGTTGTATAACGAAAGAGTACTGGTGCAAAAACGCAAGTGACGAAGGCATATTAGGCTACAAACTCATGGTGCAGACGGGACACGTGGACAATCCCATCGACAAATCACTAGTTACATCGGACACCAAAAATGGACACAGATTAGTAGATAAAGATGGCATTATAAATCCGAGGGCGTTTTACAATTATCTATCAGCTTGGGCGACGAACGACGCGTTAGCATATGGAGCTTCCCAAGGAAACTTGAAACCTCAGCCCAAAATTTGGATACATTCACCGTCCGACACGGATTTGAAGATACCGAAGTCGTCACCTTTGATCTACGCACAGATTCCGTTCTACCTATCCGGCCTCAGTGATACTGAAAGTATTAAACAGCTGATAATGTCGGTCAGAGAGTTGTGCATAAAATTCGAATCGAAAGGATTGTCTAATTTCCCGTCTGGTATTCCTTTCTTGTTTTGGGAGCAGTATTTGTATCTAAGAACATCGCTGCTTCTAGCCTTGGCTTGCGCTTTAGCTGCTGTGTTTGTTGTAAGTATATGGTTTTCTGATGATCATAACACAACGATGGATTGTTAAATTTCTGTTTGTTGACTATGGATACTTTTTCTTTGCAGACAGTAATGATTTTGTTGTTGAACGCGTGGGCCGCTGTATTGGTTACTTTGGCATTGGGTACCTTAGTGCTTCAGTTACTGGGTACAATGGCACTATTGGATGTGAAACTATCTGCAGTGCCCGCTGTACTTTTGGTTTTGGCAATAGGAAGAGGAGTACACTTCACCGTTCATTTATGCTTGGTGAGTATTGAAATATGACATTTATTTGTAGTCGGCTTTCAGTAGATATCTTTTTTTAGGGGTTGCACAATTATAACAGGGTTAATTCTTTATTATACTCCTACTGTTTTGATTCTTGTTTGAGTTTACACATTGACAAAATACTGCATAATTAGCATTTACTCTGCTGCTTATTAAGAAAGGGGTTGATTTTTAAGCTCCATTGGAAGCGAAAGAAAATCCTATTATCATTGTTTAATAATTTCTTGAGTTTCGCAAATCAGATCTGTGTAGGATTGGGCGCTTAATTAAGTTTTGAAATTTCCCATCTATAAACATTGCTATTAAAATTTCATAATTTCCTAGAATCTGAATAGGATGCTCTATCTTTTAAAAGTGTTTTTTGGCATTGGCTAAGTTAGTGCTACAGTTACTGAGTACAATGGGACTGCTGGCAGTGACACATTCTTAATTGATTATCACAATTTCATTAGTAAGCTATTTACAGAGATTTTTAATTTAGAGCATTAAACATCAACTACATTCCTATACCTCCGTGGCCGAGTGGTTTGTGCACCGGGTTTCAAGGTGCCGCCGACTCGAGAGGTCCCGGTTTCAAATCCCGGTGGGGGCAGATGTTTGTGTGATAAATACGATCATTTGTACTCCAGCCATGGATGTTTAATATGTATTTCTATAAAAATATACTTGTACAGTATATGTATTCTATCCGTTACCTTAGTATCCCTAACACAAGCCTTATAGTGCTTACTTTGGGGTTAGGCTAATTGGTGTGAGAGTTGGAAATATTTATTTATTTCTTTTATCTTTGCAGGCATTCGTAACATCAATAGGCAGTAAACCGCGTCGCGCCTCTTTAGCTGTAGAATCAGTTCTGGCTCCAGTGGTACATGGAGCTTTGGCTGCAGCCTTAGCTGCTTCCATGCTGGCCACCAGTGAGTTTGGCTTCGTCGCTAGATTATTCCTGAGGCTGCTGCTAGCGTTAGTTCTACTGGGACTTCTGGATGGATTGTTGTTCTTCCCGATCATATTAGCGCTATTGGGACCCGCGGCTGAGGTTAGTATACTAGAAGTTTCTTTTTTTTATATTTTTATAAGTTTTACAATATAAATTTATTATGTACAAAAGTGCCAAGAAATGTTAAGGCATGTCTGAGAGTATGCGGCCACCATAATCTATTGACACTTGCGATACTAAAGTAAATTTGCGCATTGCCTGCTTTGTTCCACTTAACATAACTTATCACAACGAACTATACAGTTAGGGCTACAAAAATATTTAGTTCTACTATACATATAAACTTTAACTTTTATCAAAGTCACGTGTTAAACACGAGAATGTAGTTTTTACACAGTGTTTTATTTTATTTGAGCGGTCATTTATAAATAAATAAATATTTCCCATACGAGAGGTCCCGGGTTCAAATCCCGGTGGAGTCAGATGTTTGTGTGATGAATACGAGCATTTGTACTCCAGTCACGGATGTTAAATATCTATTTCTATATAAAAATACTTATATATGTACTGTATATGTATTCTATCCGTTACCCTAGCATCCCATAACACAAGCCTTACAGCGCTTACTTTGGTGCTAGACTAATTGATGTGATTGTTGGACATATTTATTTAACCCCTACATTTCACAGGTCCGACCTCTAGAGCATCCTGAGCGGCTATCCACACCATCGCCCAAGTGCTCCCCAGTGCTGCCTCGTAAATCCAGCTCTTCCAAAGACAGCAGCGACAAGTCCAGCCGCACCAAATCAGCCCCCAGACCCTGCGCCCCATCTCTCACCACCATCACTGAAGAACCCAGTTGGCACAGTTCCGCTTCCTCCGTGCAATCGTCGATGCAGTCCATCATGGTGCAACCTGAAGTTGTGGTGGAAACTACAACGTATAACGGCAGTGATTCTACTTCAGGACGGTCTACGCCCACTTCGAAAGCCCACTCCGGAGCTATTACTACGAAGGTAATTTTTTTAATCTGTCATAAGCACATTTGTTGCTCCTTTGTCGTGATCTAAGAAAAAATATGCGAAGTTGATTAAAGGCTACTTTCGGATTATAATCCTAATAGTAGTAGCTGGTAAATTGGTCACTATTGATCCCTATTCCTATTCCTCTTATGAATAAACGAAGAATAAGCTTGGACTAGTTACTCCATGTTTTGTTTCTGTCCTTAGAATAACAAATAACATTTGAGTGAAGTGGACAAAATTATTATGGCGAAACTATTCTAAGCTTATTCCCAGTTTAATGGTAAGGAGGTATATGTCGTGATAAAATTTATTAGTAGAGAATTTTCTATCAGTAGTAAAGAGTGATCGTCGACTCTTTGACCTATATATTTTTTCTTAACTTCCAATAATATAATTTTCGTTTTTCCACTCCGTCCTAAACATTAGCTACCTATTTGTAGCTGATACTGGGCATCAGCAATTTTCACTTGTTTACTAATGCACCAATAGTACTACAACTTAATTCACAATGCTTCATTTTATTTCCAGGTAACTGCAACGGCAAATATAAAAGTCGAAGTTGTGACACCCGGCGACAGGAAATCACGCCGGTCGTACTATTACTACGACAGGCGGCGCGATCGCGATGACGACAGGGAACGAGAACGCGACCGAGATCGGGAAAGGGACCGAGACCGCGATAGAGACCGGGAGCGAGAGAGAGACAGGGGCGAGAGGGACAGGGATAGAGTTGATAGGGATCGCGACAGGGACAGAGAGAGGTCGAGGGACCGAAGAGATCGCTACAGAGACGAAAGAGATCACCGCGCTTCCCCGCGGGAAAACGGACGCGATTCCGGCCACGAAAGTGACTCCTCAAGACATTGAAACTAGTGCTCAGACTATTTTATATACCTACAGTGTCTGTTGTTACGCACCGTGTTCACACGTTAAACGACTCGAGTGAATCTAGAGTGAATTAAAATAAGTAAGACGTGTTTTAAGGATCGCAATATACAGCTTACACAATGCCTTAGAACAGTATTACGAATGTTATGTTAGGAAACATTTAATTTATATTTAATACGATACATAGTGGAGGCTACAATTATTCGGTACACGGAATTGCAAGTATTCAATTCACTGTTTTCTTACTATTATTATTTTATTATTTGCAGTGTTACTGTAATCATTCCATCATTCCATTGAACACTGTTACTGCTGTATGAGTGTCACGAAATTCTTCAAACTGCTGTTTGACCTATAGGCTAATAACGTATTTGCATTTTGGAGATTGATCACTTACATTTAGTTGAATCAGAACTATACTTTTCTCATTTTGTGTTTCATTGTGAGCAATGAAATTGTGAATTCTAATTAGAGTAAAGACCAAATATGATTTTAAGGCGTCGTTATTGTGTATTTCGTTTCGCGTGTTCCTAGTTTATTTAAAGACATTGCCACCGTGTGCTGCTCTTTGTTACAATTATAATTATCTTCTTTAAAGACTGTGGTCATATACTTTTAATAATTTATCATATTATTTATTTATATTGTCTATAATTTTACTATTTTATCATCAAATGAGTCTCACTTCTCTTCAGTGGGTAATCTCAGAGTTATTGTACAAATTAATTAGTTAACCTTAATGGTAATGTAGGTAAGCGACTATTTATGAGATTATTTAGTTATCTAAATATACCCTTACTGTATTTTTGTGATCTTTAGGTAAACTTTTAAGACTGCATTTAACGATCAAAACACAGTATTCTGTGGTTAAGTATCATAGAAGCAATGCGGCATTTATACAATAATCACTGGCAGAACGCTGACCTCATTAGAGAAACAAATTTTTAATTAATAGAGTTGTGACGTTTTGTGCAAAGTACTTATTAGATTGTATTATTTATACGTACACATGTAAGCTAATAATATCCTGTAAATATAGGTTTAGATGTAATGTAACGTTACACGATGCAAAGTGCCTGCGTATGCGCAAAGGAGTTGAATACTTTTGTATCGTTTATTTTTATACAATTTTAACTGACGTAATGTCGAAAAACTATAGGTTGTAACCTGAATCCAAGTGTTTTATAAGCTTTCAACGGATATTGAATCTAAGTATGTAATTTCAAACTTAAAACTAATCTCAGAACTACTTTCATTGGAAAACCATTTTTTACCAAATCGTTTGTTTTTATAAATTTAAAATATTGATTTAATGTTTTGAAATAATGTATAATAACTGTTTTTCCATATTGATTTATATCGAATCATCGAGAAAATAAATAAAGTGAAATTATATAAATTGACAGTTCTGTTGGGAAAATAAAACAGTATGTACCTATTTTACACTCAATTTCTCTTTGTTTAATTTATTTCCTTTTCCACAACTATGCAGATATCTAACTTACTTACCTATTAGGTATATTATGTAGGTAAATTAATAAGTGTTAAGCTAATTTCACCAACGTCTAGGGTCCTTAGAATATGAATTAAAAATAAAGATAAAACTTGAAAGATGATTATTATGTATGTTATTTTCCTAACAGCCACTTGTAGCAATTTTGCTAAATGTCCATTTAACTATAACTAGATTTAGCACATACAAATTATGTCGATTTTTTGTATGGATAAAATCTTGTTTTATCTAAAGCGAGATTTAGCTAATTTTGTGCAAATGGATTTGAGAAAGTTTAGTCACTCTTGCTTGGAGGATTTGGATCTACTTGGGTAACATCCTGTTTGGGTGTTCCACAGGGTTTACTGATGGGTCTCATTAGGTAATGAGACCCATCATAAACGATTAGGTATCGTTTTATTTCTTAACTATCGGCCCGGCCCGGCCGTTTTGTTTTTTAAAGAATGTAATGTCTGTCGTCTGCCTGTCTATCTGTTGTGAATTTTTAAAAATTCTATCTTAGTATGTCTAAAATTATTTCTGGACATTATAGAGGACAGTTTAAATCCCATTAATCTAGGTCTAGCGATTTTGGCTTTGCGTTATGAGTCAGCAAGCGAATCAATCAATATTTCCAATTCCCTTTTTACCCGGCTGCGCAATGCAAGAGCGCGAAGCGCGACGCGCAGACAGGGTTATGTGTTTAACAGTCTATATTTGTATGTTTGTTCCTTTGTGGCACACTAGAGACCAAACGCCTGGACCGATTTTGATGATTCATACATCAATCGATTCGTCTCAATCATGGGAGTGCTACTAAAGATATGATAGTAATCAAAATTCAATATGGGCAAAATTAGGCGCCATATTGTGACGAAGTAAAAAAAAAGTTGACAAAATATGTCGAGTGGGGTATCACTGTCTAGATAATCAAAAATCATATTTAGGTTTCTAACACCATTTTTCATTTTATATGATTGTTTAGGATCTACAACGCTTTAAAGTTGTATATTAACCACTTACGCTTTTAATTTCAATCTTACGTTTGTATGGATCTTTGTTACTCTTTCACCTAAAAAATACTGAATGGATTTTAATGAAACTTAACAGTTATATAGCTCATATTTAATAATTACATATATATAATAATTTATGTAGTTATTGAGTGAATTGGCCAATATATAGCAATAAGTGTCACATAAGACGAAAAAAAATGTCCCATCTGCGAGCCATTTTGGCCTGCACTGCAAAAACATTAAAAGTTACATGAATGTAATGTAGAGTGAAAATCTATCTCTTAAATAGTTCTAAAAAAAAGTCCGTGACACCATATATCTATTTTTAATGTGTAAGTCATTACCGCTAAAATAGTGAATCAAAACTAAAATATTATTTGATATCTATTTCCAAAATGCACATTTTGTATTAACAATTCATTGTTTATCAAAACAAATACTTTAATCGCTTTTGATATTTAAAGACGATAAACTTTGCTTTTTACTCTATGTCATTTCGACAAATACACACATCAAAAGTGTCTAGGGATCAAGCATTTTTATGCGGATTTCTTGAGATTGAGATGTGGCTTTGTAATAAATTTATGATTTTATAAATTTATATGGATCCTTTTTGGTGCATTTCATAATTTGAATCAGGAACTGTGAATCAAATTCGAGTAAAAGACGAAAATCAGCTGTCAATATTATCCCTATAAAAACATACAACGCATTGAAGACATTATTAGTGCTACTGTTTCCCTACTACTGATTAAAACCAACGTTATTATGGAGCGGCGACGTCATTTAAGCAGGGAAGAAATGCTCAGAGCCGTGGGAATGATAGAAGCTGGTTCCCGGCAACGTACTGTGGCTTTAGCTCTGAATACAAGTCAGAGTGTTATCAGTCGACTTTGGACACGATACCGAAGCACTGGTACCGTGGCTGAGCGCCATGGAGGACGGTATCGCTGCACCACACGGAGACAAGACCGATACATTCAAATCTTAACTCGAAGAGCTCCAACAATAACCGCCATGATGTTAGCCGTGAGGCTTCATCACTCTTCAGGGAACTTAATTAGCGACCAAACAGTCAGAAACCGCTTGCATGAAGTGAACCTTCATTCCCGAAGACCGCTACGGGTACCACCTATAGCAATGCACAATCGTAGGATTCGATATCAATGGGCTCTTGAACACAGAAATTGGGCAGAAGAACAATGGCGTTTCGTGTGCTTTTCTGATGAGTCTCGTTTTGGTATGAGACCGGATACAAGACGTATACGACACTGGAGAACCCCTGGACGCCAACAGCGATTAAAATCCTGCCAGGATGTCCATCCTTATAGTGGTGGAACCATCATGGTATGGGCGGGTATTTGGATCGGCGGAAGAACTGAGTTGATTTGGATCAGAGGCAACCTCAACGCTCAAATTTATGCTGAGACGATTGTATCAGACGTCATCGTTCCTCTACAAGTGCAAATCGGTCCCTTATTTCAGTTAATGCATGATAATGCACGACCGCACACCGCAAGAGTTGTAAGACAGACTCTCGATTTGTTACAAACATACAAATCTTTCCTCTTTATAATATTAGTATAGATAGTTAGGATAAGTATTTAATTGATGAAAAAGATTTACAGATAAAGTAAGTAATAGGTTTATTTGATTATATTTGTAAAATTTACTTAGCATTTGTGCTTAACAGTGATACGTTATTCGGTATTTTTATAACAAAGAAAAAAATTGGAAAATAATTGCCATGATTGCACTACTGGGAGTACTCTTCATTCGAGCTTTACACTACCAATAAAAAAGGGTCGAACACAAAGTCTTTGACCTGTTAAATGTGAACGCTTTAAAAGAAAACTACAAAGAGAACTATAAATTGATAATAAATGAGATTGCTATGGTGCTCTACCTAACGTTATGAAAATTTTATTATGCGCCTTTAGTTTAATCAAATATTATAAACTTTGCTTTGGTGATTGCATAATTATTTAATTTAGTGATCTAAGGCAGTTGCCACCATTGTCCAAAACAACAGACGGGAATTACTTCTTTCTTCAACCTGCGACATAAACGTCATTGATTGTATTGTATATAGGGTGATTAAAAATATTTGAAGTTAACTTCTGGCATCTACATATTGGGTTTCTGTGAATTAAGTAGGTATATCAAATTATGAGACTAGGGACTGACACTGAATTTGTGTATATCACAATCTTAGACGTCCGGCATTGACATGACAATGCAGCCACTGCCAATTTTAAATAGTCGACGAATAAAAGTAAATGAATTTTATATTTACTGCTAAACTATTAAAACAAACATAAACAAAAGATGACTTTTTGAGTAAGTGCTAGTTTACTATAAAATTTACATACATTAGAGATATTTATGTAACGACTTGATTTAACTTCACACATTTTTGCGAAAATTGAGGCCCATCTGTAGCTTTGACCCCGCTGGTAAAGTCTTTATATGTCTTAATAAATCAATCTTTTAGACCGACGCAAGGTACTTAATAATTCCCGCGATATTAATTCCCTTACTGAAGTAACAAGACTACGGTATATACCGTCTTAAAATACTAACTAACTAAAAAGTGTAAAATAAAAAAGGTAAATTTAAAAAATCAAAAAACCCGACTGCTTAATTATTCTTCAAATAAAAACTGAAAAGGAAAAATACAAGTCCAGTAGTCTATAATTCTGTTAATAAGGAACAAAGCTACTTTAACAGTCGGGACCCACTGTTGAAAAATATTATGTATTCTTGAATATCTAATGGGTCCCGACTGTTAAAGTAGCTTTGTTCCTTATTAACAGAATTATAGACTACTGGACTTGTTTTTTTCCTTTTCAGTTTTTATTTGAAGAATAATTAAGCAGTCGAAGTTTATAGAAGAAATAATGACTCGTCTCGGCTGCGCACGGGAGTATTGTATTAAGTAGACACGAATCAACATCCGGAAATAATAAAACACAGATATCATTTTTATTTTATACAGAGTGGGTATGCAAAATTTTAAGCAATCATATCGTTTTTTAACAATCCTATATTGCCTAGGCATTAATAGGAACCTGCTGTCCAAATTACATTATTCTAAAGCCAGCCGTTTTGGCTGTGTATTGGTGAGTCATTCAGTCTGTCAGTGTATCCTTTTCTCTCTTAATACAATAGTATAGATGAAGTAATTACAAACTTATTTCAAGTTATAATTTTAGTAAACTAACACTAGTTCTGAAGGAATCATTTGAAAGAAATAAAGAAGAAGAAAAAAGCTTTTATTGGTCACACACTTAAAAAATAACATTTACAATAACAACAACGGAACATAACAAACAATAGGGTAAGTACAAGAGATAAAGATATAGGCGAGGTTAATCAGAATCCTGCTTCAACGTAAAGCTGTCATTTTCTAAGAAGAACTGACGTGAAATTTCTGAAAAGAGATGATTTTAGAAAAAACTCTAGAAGGCTATTGAAGGAAAAAAGCCTTGCTTGTGGATCCCTACAGAACCTTATTCACAAATAGAAACAAAATCACTATAAGTTAGTGTGTTATTTTATTAGGTTTCTCTTGGGGTTTTCTGTAAAATGAATGTGGCGGTAATATCACCAAAGAAGGCGCTCCTGTTTAAGCAGGAAATCGGATAAGCCTCACCTCAATTAGTTGCTGACATATTCTTTATTAAATTACTCCTTTACCCTTTTTTTATTATTAAAAAAAATAAAAAACTAACCCAAGCTTAGTCTTCGTTTATACGAAGTTATTTAATGTTTTGTCTTTGTTTATGGAATGGCAAAAACAAAATCATAAATACTATTTATTTCCAATATTTGATAATTTTGCTAATGATACAAGTGTAAGCGTGTGTGTGGGTGAGTGTGAGTGTGTGTGTGTGTGTGTGTGTGTGTGTTCGATTATTATAAATTTTGAAGCAA